TTACTATTGAATCTTGAATTTTCCTTTAAAAATCAAATATAATTTGGGGTTTTATTAGTGATCAAATTTACTTTGCGATCAGCAATTATTCATTATATTTAGGGCATAAGTTACTGCTTATTGGGCTCAGATCACACATGTGTGTGAATGGATATTGTAACCTTTTGTCTTGCTCTGTTATGCTCTTTATTGTTTTACGACAGAGTCTGGCTAAGATTTTTAATATTTTTAAGTCTCTATGACTGAAAAAGAGACCACAAGAACCCTCTTTGTAGAAGTCAACAAAGCAACTTACATCTGTAAAAATATATCTTGTATGTGCAGATCCTGAACAAGAGGTGTTTAAAACATCATATGCTAATGTAATTGGTTGAGAGTCTCATATTTCACCAATGACATGTATCAACATGTATTCTCTCTGTTTTTTTCCCGACATTGTTTTGTTTTGAGGCTTTCAAGAAGAAGGAAGTGATACTGGTGTGTGTGGAGCTCACCAAATAGCTGCAGGGGGGCACCTGATCCATCAGCGTAGGTAATATACTTCCACTTTCCTGTCCGCAGCATGTAAGTGGAAGCATTGGCATTGCAGCCGTGGTACTCACTCAGTACCCAGTCCGGACGGTACTTAGCACTGGAAGCGGGGGTCTGATGAAGAAGCGGCATGAGGGAGTGGCCGCTGAGATTTGCTGGTACGGGGACTCCAATAAGCTCTGAAGACAAAAAATAACAGGCAATGTCATTGAAGTGCAAGTACGTATTCATAAAAACAATGTATCCAAGCTTTTATTTGGAATGTTGGAGGGGGGGGGGGGGGGGATCTGCTACAGTGCCTAAAAAATGTATTTGTGGTTTTCTGGAAATCTGACAATAAAAATAAAAATTCTTACAATCATTACACTTACATCATCTGTTTACAACATACTGATCTCAAGAAATAATTAACTTCACTCATTTTTATCAGATACTGACTTTTGGTGGGACAAAGCTGGTTACAATTTCCTTAGTTTTACTTTCATACATATTTTTGAGATTAGAAGAACTTTTATATTACATTTATTTATTTAGCAGATGCAACGTACAGTTGGGAGAGCAGCTTCAGCCAGGCCCTGGAGCGACTGGGGCTCCAAAGTGAAATGACTAGGCTGATTATGGGATTTGAACCAGCAAACCTTTGGTCACAGGCACAGAGCCCTAACTCACACAGCCACACACCACCAGCAAGGCTTTAATACGCTATATTTGACATGCAGTCAAAACCACTACTTCTACCTGGCAAAATGCTCAGTGGGCTAAGCCTGTGTGCTTGTAATCAGAAGGTCACCGGTTCAAACCCAGCCTCAGCATGTCTGCATGTCCTTGAGCAAGGCCCTTAACCCCCAACTCCCTGGGCGACCCAACAGGTGGCTGGACAGCTTGAGGGAGGCGTAAAAATTTCAATTTCCCCACGGGGATCAATAAAAGTATCAATTATTATTATGATTGGCACCTCTAATGCTGCTTTCCCCTTACCGAGGACCGTAGGGTAAATATCCACCAGAGAGACCGGCTGCTCCACCTGCAGCTCGGCCTTCGTCCCTGGGCCAGTAATGAGTAACGGGACATGCGAGCTTCCCTCAAACATGGACATCTTGTAGAACTGCCTGTGCTCCATGGCAAGTTCCCCATGGTCAGAGGTAAACATCAGCAAGGTACTGGACAGCAGCCCAGAGTCTGAGAGGGCAGACACAACCTCACCTAAAAATCGAAATCGGTTAGCCAAGAAAGCTGTTATTGTAATAAATATGTTTCAAATTTGATACTGTACTTCCACAGAAATGAGCAATCTTTAGGTTTCATAAGTCAACATGCTGGCAGCTAGCCAACATATACTGTATATACACACACACACACAAATTTATAAATAATGACTTATTACGGAATACACTACATACAGTGATGTCATATGTTATAAGGTTGATTTTGATGCAGCTTCTCACCCAACATGGCATCCGCCTCAGCACACATAGCATAGTAGAAGGTACGAATGTCCTTAACCTCCTCCTGTGTGAAGTTGCTGCTGCAGTTTTTCGTAAAGGTAGAGTAGTAATCAACAGGATGCATCTGATTCAAGGGCAGCCATTTGGGAACTGCGATTAGCTCACGAGATACCTGACAAACGGCGAAAAGGAAAAGTAAATGACATCAATGCGCTTTGCTCTATTCTTTTTGTAAACACAGAATAGTATATGCTATATTAATTTTAGGTTTCCTTTCAGATAGATGTCTAACAAATTTCTTTCAGGTTATATTTTGCAATGAAAACGAATACAAAGATTCCACCTTTGTAAATAGCAATTAATTTGTAAAAGCAATTAAACTACAATGAAGTGAAATGTAAACTTGTATAAATGAATCAGTATTTACCTTTCTGAGCCAGTAAGGGGAGGTGCGGAAGGTGGATCCACCAGCATTTGGCCCCAGAGACTCTGTTCGGTAAGGGTGAGGCAAATTAAGGCCCAGGTACAGGGCGAAAGGCTTAGACAGAGATGCAGCACTGTGCCGGATCCACCGGGCAGCGCTCTCGGTTATCTTCCAGTCCTTCGCCATAACCTTCACCGTGGAGGCATTGCCTATGAGGTCAATCATGGGGCGACCTTCCTGTCGCAGCAGAAATGGCACGTCTCGAGTCCAGGCCTCCACACGATTACTGGGGTTCAAAATAAATTAGTCATATTGTGCAACAGTCATATAGTCATGCATTAAGCATCTGTGAATACAACTGTGAATGTCAATCAACTACACTGCCACACAGCCTTAATTACCGGTACCATACTATATTAGAATTAAATATTATGCCGTTTCATATTATTCTAAGTTTTCCCCAGACAGGGACTGCATATGGTTTTTGGAGCGCGCTGCTTCTGCCATCAAATTTCTTGATTGACCTTCATCAAACTTACTAGGAACACTGTATAGGTGATGATCTGGGTCCTATTTCATTTTGAGACAAATCACACGGAAACTGAAGCAGTGTCCCTTAGTGGGGGCACATGAAAGGACAGCCACAGATCTGGTGAACCTGATTACACTGACAAGTCATCTAAAGATGGTCTTTGAATAAAGATTTTTTTGCAGAGGTGGGGGGGGATGACAGTGGGGCCATGGAATACATTGGCGTCATTCTGACGGTATCTAGTTTACAATTCCAAGTTAGTAAACTTAGAAATTATCATAAAGAATAATAATTTATTGTTATTCTCCTTCGCGGACTGATGACAAATCCTGCCATCAGTTCACGAAGGACTTAAAGCTGGGACAAGGAGATATCGTTTGGTAGGTGAGAGCTGAATCTGTTTGAGAAAAATGCAAAACAGGAACACTGATGTCAACAGATCTTCATTCAACTTGACAAGGCCTGAACACACACCTCCTGAGTTGTGCAAAATTTGTAAAGTTATAGTCAGGACTAAACCAGGGGAGTAAACGAACATCTAAATAATAACTTTCATACATTTTTCCATTCGCTCTTGTTTAGAAGTGTAAACTTTTGCAGTTTAAAAACAAGGAGTAAATCCTACATGTATTGTGTAAATGATGTGCACACTGATAACAAAGCACTTACCTAATGGAATGGCTACCAGACGTATAGTCCAGCTTTCCCAGTCTTTTAGTGTAATATCCATTTTTCTGCAGAATTTCCATCCAGGTCGTGTAATTATTATCCAGGCATTTAAAATTGTTCCATGACTGAGTTCGATGCACAAACTGACCACTCCACATAGCTGTGAGAAAATGTATAACCATACAAAATATTTTGTAGGGTTTAAAAGCTAAATGCTTTTTATTATACATGTTACATGAGGCATTTGCTACTGTACCTGCTCTAGAAGGGCAGCAAATAGGAGAATTGGTGTAGGCATTGAGAAAGACGGCCCCTTGTTTTCTAAGGTATTCAGTATACGGTAACTTAACTACTTGACTGCCAGGGTGAAAAGTCAATCTACCATCCTTCAGAAAAAAGACATAAGCGATCCGATCAACAAAATACAAACACCTGACACGAAGTTTGCATAATCTTGTGATTTCATCTGTAGATCTTTAGCTAGGAACGGCATTGTATTACTACTAGCCACCTATCTCAATTAATCTGTATTATTTACAATCCATCAGGACAACACTGAAGTAAGAAATTGTGCAATGGTGACTAGACTGTTTTCAAGACTCAAATTACATTAACTGAACTGATGCTGTGCACTTTGAAAACGAAAATGAATGTAAACCAGTACTTACAAACGCATCCGACATCACCATCACGATATTCGGCCTTAAGTTTTGTGTATAGTTTAAACACAAAGCCAACGTTTTCGTTGAAAGAATCAGAAAAACTAGATTAAAGCGATACATATCTAAATGGCTTAAAATATTTACAAGAAATGAAAAAAAGAAAATAAGTACAGCTCAACACAACACTGAGGTAACAGAGGCACTTAGATGGAGGCAATGAAAGGCAAAAACACATTTGACGACTGCTTTTTCCTTCAGAACAACGAACACCGAGCTACCAAATATTTTGATATGCCAAAAAAAAAAAACATTTTCACACGATGCTACTTCCACTTCCTTTATTTTTGCAAGACAAATATAACCTTGATGCTGTTTGGGTGAAACCTTACACCAGACAGCTAACGTACCTTTTGATACATTGTAGCTATAACATGAGGAAGACAGATTATTAGGTAAAACATGTCTCTTTCAATACAAGTATTATTAAAGTGATATGGGTAATAAACAACACGACTTGTCAGCCTGATGCTTTCACACACCGAGTTTAAACAGTTCGGTTTGTATGCAATGCCTGAAGCTGAAACGGTTTCGCACACTAACTTGATTAGTTTCGATTTATATTTCAAAATCGCTGACCTACGACGATCAAAAGTTAATCTGATCTTCGGAAAGTGACAGAGCCGCGCGCCCCTCTCTCAGCCCCCGGGGCGTAGAACGCGTCTAGTTGGCTGTCGTCTTTCCCACGTGACCTCCTTCAGTGGGGTTCGCTGTGCATTGTGGGATCGTACAGTGGCAGCTCTGAAAGGAAGCAAATGCTAACAAAATATCAGGTAATGTTAATTAATTTGCCAAATTCTCGCAAGCATGTGAAATGTTACGTTGAAAGTACTGAATAGTAGTACTTAAGCTGTTTATAAAGTAGGTTTGTAGCTCACCACTGAAATATATCAATAGTAGTTGGATAGTCGTTCACCTTTCATATCTTAGCAGAGAATGCAATCCATTGAAGTGTTTTCGTGGCACATCTAACTTTTATATTACGAGTTTCTGTCGCGAATTTACATTTTAACTAATAAACAGACAGACTGCCATCGTGTTAATAGATGGGTCATTCCATGTCAAATCATCACACTTTCGGACCTCATCGTCACGAATTTTAACAAAATCATCATCATCATCATCATCATGATGAAACTGGATCAATATTGAGGGAGATTTAAGCGAACAAATTGTAACTTTTTTTTTTTTTAGGGGTATGACTTTGGCTATATTTACCTTAATGTAAGCTGCACAGAAGTGGTCCTAATACTGTTTTAAAGCTATGGTCCAGCTCTAATAGATTGAACAAATAATATTTCATCCCCATTTGAATAACTACTATGTAATAACTGAGTAAAGTATTAAAAATTCAATAACAAAAAACATATATTTCAAAATTGATAAATTTTTTACTGAAGTTATAACATAATGTCATGAACATCTCCAGAAAATTTGGTCTTTGGTTTTTGAGTTGTTGCTGAGATATCTTGACTTAAAGGTAGCGTCACATGGCTTCATATCACTAATGGGCCTTTTTAATGGCAGCCAAACTGACATGAAATAGGATAACAATGAAACCATATGAATTGATCAATTTTGATTATTTGATTTTGTTATTGAATTTTTAATAATTTAATCAGTTATTACATAGTATTCAAATGGGGATGGCATATTTGTTCAATCTATAGAGCTGGACAATAGCTTTAAAACAGTATAAGGACTACTTCTGTGCAGCTTACATCATGGTCAAAGTCATAGCCCCGCCCCCCTCCCAAAAAAAAAAAAGTTTAAACTTTGTTTGCTTAAATCTCCTTCAATATTGATCTGAAACTCGACCAATGTCAGTTTCATGAGTTACTCATGTGACCAAATCAGCATGCCAAGTTTTGTTAAAATCGTGACGATGAGTTCCGAAAGTGTGATGATTTGACATGGAATGACCCAGATGTTATGTATCAGAGAGGGTGTGTCACACATAATAATGTTTAGATGTCTTTAAAAAACAGAAAGGGGAAACCCAGAATTAATGATAATTTACACACAGAAAGTTTTTTTTTTATTTACTGTTCAATTGTTTTTTTTTTTGTAAAGATGTTCAGCAACTATGTCTGCAAAAGAAGTTAAATCAGCCTTGAAGAATGCAAGGGAGGCTATTAAAAACAAAGAATATAAGGAAGCATTAAAACATTGCAAGGTAAGCAATTTTAGCAGCTTATTCATTCTTGATGGTAATTTATTGAATACTCAGGTCGAAAAATCTCCTGCTTTACCAGTATTACTATTATGTGTAATATACACAGTCAAGCAGACCAAGTGGGACTTTTAATTTGTAATTTACAGAATGTTTAATTGATATTGTCTGCTTCTGGAATTAAAATGCGCTAGTATGTAAGAGGAGACACCATTAGGTCTGCCCTCCTCTTGAGCATCACAATAACTGATCAAAACATAAGATTGTTATTTATATTTAGTAGATCCAAACTGAACATATTTCATGAAGACAATCTATACTCAGTCAGTAGGCTGGAAAAACATTTTTATGCTTGTTTGTTAAACATGAAATTTATTCCACAGGGGACTTAGAGCCTGTTGCAGGCAGCATAGGGCATAGAGCTGTGGTATACCCTGAAGGCTGTGGTATACCCTGAAGGCTGTGGTATACCCTGAAGGCTGTGGTATACCCTGAAAGCTGTGGTATACCCTGAACAGGATCTTGGCTCACATGACACATACATACACACGCTTAAACAGTATGGCTGGTTTAGAGATGCCAATAAGCCATAACTGCGTGTCTTTGGACTACCTAAGGAATCCAGAGGACTTGGAGGAAATCCATGTCACAGATGGGGAATATGGAAGCTCCTCATACACAGGGAGGATGTAGGGCTTGAACCTCCAACCCTGAAACTGAGGCAGCCATGCTGTCCCTAAAAACTAACTTTGTTTTCAACTCTATTAATATGTAAGAACAATATGGTGGTGCAGTGGGTAGCACTTAGCTTGACATCTCCAGGGTTTGTGTGTGGAATTTGCATGTTTAGTGTGAGACTCGGTTTGTGCCCCTATGCTTCCTGGGACAGGTTCCAATCTTGCTGACACCCTGTACTGGATAAGTGGCTCGTGGGACACGGGTTGGTGGTTGAATATGTGATTCTTCTGAATTCTCTTTTTGTAATTTGCTCTGAATCTCAGGCAGTTCTGAAGCTGGAAAAGAATAATTACAATGCCTGGGTGTTCATCGGCGTGGCAGCATGTGAGTTAGAACAGCCGGATCAGGCTCAAACTGCTTACAAGAAAGCTATGGAACTGGAGCCTGGTCAGCCTCTTGCTTGGCAGGTGAGATTACAGAGTCGGCTACGATTTGTGCTTTTAATATTTCATTTCATTTCAGTCTTCTGTTGTTCTCCTCCGTCTAACTCTTTCTGTTTCAGTAGACATGGGATGCGTCTGAAATTGCATGCTCGTTTGCGGTGTAGTAAGTAAAATATAGCAGGCAATGTGAGCAATGCGTCTGAATCATGCGTATGAATGAGACAGCATGTAGACAGTACCCGGATGTTATGCTACATTCTGCACAATCCCCAAGTGATCAACCGAGGGACGCTATGCTATCCCACAAGGCCTCTGGAACAGCGAAGAACACTGCTTGTTTAGAAATTTTTGTCAAGATGGCAAAGGAAGTGCAGTCTCTGTACAAATTTAAGTATAAAACAATGCCTAGTTACATTAGTTGAGTCAAATATGTATTTTTTGGTTGATCTTTTTTAACCGTTTAACTTTCATTGTGGCCAAGTTACATCATCAAACAACATCCAGGTCAGGTAATATGTAAGGTAGCGGCCACAGTGCGTCTGATTGCATGCATATTGTAGTCATGCATGCATACAGTACATACTGCGTTAACGGTCGAGTTGCAGGCTTCTGATGAAATTAGGTATGTACTGTTTAAGTACAGTATGCGATTTCAGATGCATCCTTGGTTACAGCAGTAGCTGTGGCTCATTTCATGTTCTTTCTATTTCATCTCCATAAGTAAACATTAGTACAAATTGCCAGCATCCAAAATGATCGACCTCTTTCTGAGGCAAAGTTTCTGTTTTACTTGATATAAAAAAAGAAAGAAGTAAACAATGAAGTTATTCATAAGTGGTATTGATAAGAGCTCCATCTGTGCTTTAATCCATCGTATGTAATTTTTTTGCAGGATTTTTTATAATGAAAATTTATGCAAAAGAGTTTTACAAAAGCTTACATTTTTTTTTAGGGGTTAGCAAGTCTGTATGAAAAAAGCAACCAGGCAGATTTCAAAACGGAGTTGCCAAAAGTCTATGAAAAACTTGCCACACTGTATGAAAGGTAGGAAATGACAATGTGAGCCATTCTGTGCTATTGTGAAATTTGCAATGAAGGATACAAGGAAGAATTTGCTCTATAGCATTATATAGTTAATTACTATTATTGTTATATAGGCCAGTGGGATGCATATAAATTGTCTATACTAACCTCCCTCTAAATGTCCTATTATATTTCCAGTTCGGACAAAGAAAAATGTTATGAGGTGGGCAAAAAACTGGTCGACCTTTATCATTCAAGGAAGGATGATGCGCAGGTTTGTTTCAGCACCTAAAAAGATTTTATCAGTGTTTCCTAGAACGTTGGCTTACTTTCGGCTACAACTGTCTGTATTTATTAACAAATATTGGTGGACGTGTATCATTTAAGGAAGGATCATACGCAGGTTTGTAACAGCACCTAAAATGATTTTATCAGTGTTTCCAGAAACTTTGGCTTACTTTCAACTAATACTGACTATATCTATTAACAAATACAACGGAAAAATAAACAGAAGACACTCTTGTGTAGGCGGCCAGGTGGTTGCGGAGGCTAATCTCGCTGAAGGGGGATGTGGATAAAGAGGAGGAACTGCAGCTGTGGCTGAGGATGGTCCAGCTCCTGGCTGACAGTGTGGAGGAGCAAGACAATCAGACACAGCAGCATGTTAGTGGATCCGCTCTGGCTTCCTGCCTTAACTATTGCAAATCAATCCATTATTTTTTTAATTAGCATGGATTTAGTAGCGGTTCTTACTTCAGGCTTTCGGTTTTCCAGTTGAGCTTCAGGCACGTTTTCAAGTGTGTAGTCTGAGAGTTTTATTAGAATTTAATTGCAAGTTAAGTTAAGGGGTGTGCTGAAACTTTTTGGTACTATGGTACTGTATTATGCAATGCTATTAGCCAAATTAAAAAAGGACTTAATTTAAATTATGAACTTCCAGCAATCCTGCCATGAGAACCTCATTACAATATATTGCCGTTTTCTTTTTTTTTTGCAGTTAATAACGGCTTTTGAAAAGGCCGTGCTCCTGATAGATCCACCCTGTGACAAGCACAAGAGGCTTTTGACTGACTACATTAAGTGCTTATCAAAAGTAATCCTTTCAAAATATTATTTTATAAATGATGGACAAATGAAAGCTGATGCTGATCTTTCACTTAATTTGTGTGAAAGAATATTATGTTGAATAACACAGGTTAGCAGGTCATTTTTATCAGAGGTAATTTTATGTGGGTTTTGTAGTATTTTTCATGCTGATTTCAAATCTGTGTTTATTTTTTCTCTAGCACGTCAAGTTTTTGTGATGAAGCTATATGTAATATGATATTATGTACATTCAGTCTGCCTAAGTGTATTACAAGAGTTGTCTGTGTTTTTTATCTTATAGACAGCATCACCATTCTCTAGGTGACTAGATATTGATTTATGTTTTATTGACACTTGTCTAGTTGTGATTTGAGTATAATTAAATTGACCTAGTGCGCATGCGCATGTCTTGTGTATACAACTTAGTTTGGAGGGAAACATAGATAGTTGTGCCTCAGGTTTCGTTTTGCTGACGTAAGCTTCTCGACAAATTTTTTATTATTTCTCGAATTGTTGCAAAAGAAATACTAAATCTAACTCACGAGTTTGAATTCTGGGTCATCGTCCTGGAAATCAAAGGCGGCGGTGACAGACAGCATCAACTGTGTTGGATTTCAGTTGTTATCATGCCTAGAAATTGCATTAATCATCTAGACAGTTTCTGTCATGTGTGTGGGTCATTCACAACAAAAGCACAACGTCGCCCAATCACTGCAGATCTTCAGAAGATATACAAATTATACTTTGGCTGTCCACCTGGAGACCAGGATAAATCTTGGGTTCCACATGTCATCTGTACCAGTTGTTCAAATGGTCTGTGTGACTGGCTAAATCGGCGAAAGGCAGCAATGCCATTTGGAATTCCGATGGTGTGGATGGAACCGCGAGACCATCTCAACGACTGCTACTTGTGCTGCACGAATGCAAGTGGATTCTCAGCTAAAACTAAGCACAAAATTATATATCCCAGCCTAGATTCTGCAATCGGGCCTGTTCCTCATGGCGATTCATTGTCTGTTCCTGTACCGCCACATGATGGTCTTGATTCTGTAGAAGGTGATGAGGAGTACGGAGAAGGTGCAGCTGGTTACAGTGAAAGCATGATGGCCGACTACTGCTGGATGCTGCACTGCGACAATCCAGACATGGTGTACACAAGAAAATCAAACTCAAATCGTTTTTGAAGAAACAATGGTGGTTAACAAACACTTTTCAATTTCTTTATGCCCACTGTCTGTTTATTTCATTTTGCTCTAAAGAATATGTTACCCTATACTACAGTGATGCTTTTGTTTTAGTACACAATACTTGCGATTACAGTATTAACTAGCATTACTCATAAATCAAAATGTTGACGTGACAGAAAAAAACTGAAAACAGATATGGAATCAGCGTGAAAAATGTGTTTTGGTCTCTGATGATTTAAAAAAATGTTTTTTTGTTGTCCTATGTAATTTTTTAATCATAAGTTGATATACCTAATACTAATTCTGGCTAACTAAATATAACGGTATATGAACTACAATATGCCTTCATATTGTACAAAAATATTCACTTTTCAGGATGTTATATAATAGAGTCATACAGGATGTTGCTCTTGTACTGGGTGATTTCCTGTTCCAGCTGCAACATGAAGAAGTGAAGATGAAAGAAGCCTGTGACAGCATGCTGTGCCTGTACCCCTCAGATGCCTTTCCTCTGGAGGTGCTCAGCCTGCACTATATTCAGACAAGTAAGAGCTCCGCTGGCATTCCTCAGGCCCGGTGCAGGACCCTGTGCTGTGTACTTGCAGTGTCTCGATCTCTCAGAACATGAGGCCTATGTGGTTTCTTTGTGGGCTGCATTTGCTATTGGGTTGAGCTGTTCTAAGTGCTTGTTTTGTGCCTGACTTGAAGTGCCTAACATTATCTGCTGTGTGCAGGAGGTTTTTGCAGTGATGAGGCAGCCAAAAGCTTCTCTAGACTCCTGGAGGCCGACGGGGATAGTGGACTAGGCCACATTGGTCTGGGGATGCGAGCTTTGGAGGACGGGGAATATGAAGCGGCTGTCAAGCGTTTGGATCAAGGTGAACTGAGACAGACATATTATGCCATGTCTGTAATATTTGCATGTAATGTGCAAATATTATTTACAAGCCTGTCATCTTTCAATTATCTATAGGTTGTAGTTAAAATAGGGCAGCCATGGGAATATCTAGAAAAATAACTGCAAAAACCTAGGTTTTCCACTTTGTGTTGTAGCCATAAGAGCTAGAAAAGAAAACAACTGAACTGATATACACACACACTGATCCGCACACACCTAGTTCAAATAAGGAACGAACAAATATTAACTTTGTTTACACTTTAAATATTTTATACAGTTGTAGTGAATTAGATATAACAAAAATGTACTTTTGATTGAAATGTGCTCATTCACAGGATTAAAGCAATATGGTTTTTATAAGAGTTGCAGGACATCGTAGATGCCGCAAGCATGTTCACCCTATATGTGTTTATCCTAGCTGAATACAGAAAATATTTAGTAGTCAGCCTTATTTAACAAATTGTCACCTCTTACACTTATGAAATATTTACAAATGGGACATTGGTAGTGGCATGAATTTATATGGGCTATGTAGCACCAGAAATCCACTAAACTAAGTGATGTGGTTCATTGTGTTACTTTACCAAGCATGAACTAAATTTGTCTTAGGATTGAAACGCATGCCCTCCTGTATAATTGGCTGGTACAGCCAGGCCCAAGCCCGACTGAAAATGCACCAATATCGAGATGTCATTGTCTCCTGCACTCAAGGTACACTGCTTGTATTCTTCTGATTTCTTAAGTTCAAATCCCTCAAAGTCTGAGTTGTGAAATTTCTTGTTTAGAATCAGCCATTTAAGTTACACCTGGTCTAAAGACTACCTGTGTTATATTTGGACTCGCAGACCTATAAGTCAGTCTGTATCTGGTAAATAAATGGAAGTGAATGTATTTACAGGGATGAAATTGTGTTGTGAAGGAGGGGACGAGCTAAGCCAAAGATTTATGCAGCTCAAGATTGAGGCTTTGGTCAGAAGTGGCGGACAGCAGAATGCTGATGAGGCTTTGGAGATTCTCTCACAGGTACTGCAGTTAGTTTGTGGATCACTGGAAACAAGACTCTCATCCTTGTTCGTATCTGGTCCTTTTCAAAGAAAATGCTTGAAAGTTTTAGGTTTGTGGATGTACAGCCAATAAACTGTAGCCAGTATTTTGTGCAAGCCTTCAGCTTTAGTTGAAAGTTAAGAATAGAGTTTGTTTAAATGATATATCTGAAGCTATTCCTTAAAATAATGCTCTTAAAATGTTTTAAATAATTTTTCAAACTCTTGTCTTCTAGATTCCAAATTCTGAAAAGGATCCAGTTCTTATGTCCTTTAAAGGAAGAGCATTCTTGCAAAAAGGACTCATCGAACAAGCATTTCAGGTAGAGAGTGTACAGTTTCACTTTTCTTATAAGCAGATGACATTTACTTTATGAATTCCAGTGTGTCTCCCTGTATAATTTCAAGTTAAATGTTGCCCCAAAATTTATGAATATTGTCTGTGTTTTATGATACATGAATTGCCTAATATGTATACTATAAAAATAAATCGCCACCAGGTGTCATCTGAGGTCCTGATGTCTCAGCCCAGCCAGGCAGATGCCTTATCTCTGAAGGGACTGGTGCATTTCGCCAAGGAGGAAACCCAGCAAGCAGAACAGAGGTATACTTAAACCTTCTGCTTTCTTTATTTTTCATCTGTCAGTCTATAAGGAACATTTTGTTCAAACCAAATAATTGTTTTGCCTGAAAGCTTCCTGAAGGCAGTAGAGCAGTGCCCAAACTCTGGGGAGTACTACTTCCTGTTGGGAAAGCTGTACTGGCACATGGGTGAGGAGACTCGACGTGACAAAAGAAAAGCTCATGAGCATTTGCTAAAGGTCAGTTCATCCTCTTTGCTCATTATTCGTCAAAATAGTTCAGACCTCTTGCTAGTTGATCGCTATTGCTCTCCATCCGTGTGTACCATGGCTTTATGTTAAATAACACCATTGCTGGGTAAACCAGCTTGTTAAAAAGTGTTATACTACGGGACCGTTGAATGCTTGAATCTGATTGGCTGACGAACGTTCTGAGGTGTGCAATTATTTTCAGGGAAACGCACGGCGAACGTAGCTCCAGGCAGCTCTCTTGACCGTATTACAGTTCCATATCACTTCGCATAGTTAACTTTAATAACGGAAATTAGCATACAGTACCTATACAGCACACAGGACTAACAAAAACAACAACATGACAGACGATTTTCCGAAAGTAAATTTTAATATTTACGGTGAATATGAAACTTTCAACAACTGGGCTGCAGCAGTATTAGACAGTCCAGATGAAAAACAACATAAACGGAAGCCGACATCAAAGGCAGCCAGCAACAACAAAAGACATAAAACGATCAGCGAAGAACAGCTAGACATACTCGAGGGAGAAAAACACGAAGAAAACACCAAAAAAACAACAGCTAATGACGTTTTGGAACTAGCAAAAGAGTCGTTGGATGAGATGCGGAAGAAATAATCCTACTCACAATAGCGATTTAAGTAGAAAAACCGGACGAATCCCTTGAAATATATCATCTGATCGATGTCTTGAGGTGTGGCAACCGTAGTATAAGCGGAATAATTGACTCCGGACCGTTGAATTATTAGAAAAATAATGCACACCCGAGGTGTAACAGCCACTCCGCTTCGCGTCGTGGCCGCATTACCACCTCGGGTGTGCATTATTTTTCTAATAATTCAACGGCCCGTCGTCAATTATTCCTTACTTATTAAATCTAAAATAATTATGTATTCCAGATTGCTGACACAAACAGCAAGTCATTTATCCTTCCTAGGATTTTTGCATGCTAAAGCATTTTAAGCTGTTGACCTCCGCTAATTCAAGTTTATAGAGAACGGTGTCATAAACAAAAAATCTCTTACTGACAGTTCTGTGGGGAAACCACCCTGTTAAAGAGAGTGGGCAGAGTTGAGGCTATCTGGAAGGCCACAAGTGCAAAGAGAGCAGCCTAGCCCTGGTGCGCAGGAGGGCTTTTCTGAATGCATAATTCATCTAGCCTTGAAGGGATTTTGGAAGCAAGCAGGTCCTACTGGTACCTAAGCACGTTTTATGTAAATTTTCATAAATAAGAGGTAACCACTTTATGAAACCAGCTAGGTGTGAAAGGTATGAATCCTGCAATCCACCAGATCTAGGCTGTTGTCACATACCAGGTGTCTGTTAATGAGGAGATTGAAACAGATGTAAGCATGTGAAGATGATTATGAAAAGGGAAGAATAGCAATGGTCAGTATGGGTGTAACAAAATTTCTTGCCACGAAATTTTGCGATGCAGTTATGTTTCGATACACATCGCAGTGTTTAAGCTGTGTTGCGCGATGTAGCCAAATGTGCCTTTTGTTGAGTGTTTGCACCGATAGGTGCCACTGTCCATCCGTGTTGCACTGCCATGGAAATGCTAGCAATATGCAAAGAACAAATGATCTAGTCACTAGCAGCAGAGAAGAAATCGAAACTGTGGAAAACGCCATCGTCTTTTAAATCAGAAGTTTGGCAGGTAGTTTGGTTTCCCTGCGACTAGACAGGAGAATCGTGAAAAGGTAACGGACATGACGAGAACAACTTGCAAACACCGTAAAAGAAATTATTTCTCTACACAACTGGTAGCACAACTAACATATTGCATCACTTACGGCACCATAAAGTGATACTGCAATCACTAGCTCCGAAAGAGACAATACTCAGACATGTCGGTAAAGTAGTTTTGCCTTCCTTTCTCCACTACCTCCGTCGAGTGCAAGAGCCCAAGAGAGAACCTCAAGCAGGTGTGTTTATCTCAGAAGACAAGACCCTACTCACTAGTTGATAACGTGGGATTTCGCTGACTGATAAAGACGCTTGAGCCTAAAAATAACATTCCATCACGTCGGCACTTTAGCCAGTCAGTGATACGAACATTGTATAATGAGACAAAAACGAATGTTACAGAGGCAGACAGCCAAATAAACGGGTGGACATCGATAGCGGTTCAAAGCTACATTACAATAATGGCACACATAATCACGAGTGCGAAATGCAAGATTTTGTGCTCCAAACTTGCCACTTTTTGAGTCGCACACGGGAGCAAACATTGCAGAGGTTTTGAGAAAAATCACAACAACATTGTTGTTACCAACAGCGCTCAGAACATGGAGGTGGCGGTGAGAGAAGCCGGGCTGTCGCCGCATGTTAAATGTTTTGCACACACTTTGAATTTGGCTTCCCGTACCGCCTGTGTCAGCCGTTTGCTTGGTATGTATGACAGATTGTCTTTTTTCCACTGCAGTACCACAGCAACAGCTGTGCTTGCAGCAAAGCAAAGTATACTTACGGTTGCAGAACATAAACTAATAGTGGATGTTGTCACAAGATGGAACAGCTCAATGGGAAAAGCTTGAATGCTACTGTATACTGAGCAACAAGAGCCTGTAACAGCTGCACTCATGAGCATGGATGTACGGAAAAATGCCCGTCGACTCGATACTCTGGACAGCTCTGTGATCAGTGACACTGAGAACATAATGAAGCTTCTAAAAACCCCTAAAGTCAGCCACATCTGTTCTGTCTGATGAAAAGACTGCAACGATTTCACTTGTAGTACCCTTAAAGCATATAGTTGAACAGAGTATGGAACCTAATGAGGAGGATCCATCACTGTGACAGACATGAAGAGAGCCATCCTCATAAACCTTTCTGGCAAATACACACTGGAAATAGGACTACATACTGGAGAGTACTGCTTTGGATCCTCGGTTTCGAACTATACCCAACCTACAAAGGCAACACCGTGAAGATGTTTTCCACAGGCTTAAGGAGGAATCAGTCCAGTTGCAGCAGAAGGTAGGCTTAATTTTACTTCGTGATAATTTGCCTAGAGTCTGTGTTTTTGCCTGCTCTGTAATGGTATGTGTGTGTGTGTGTGGGTGCTAATGTGGGAAATTCTACAGACTGATGCATAGCACAAATGTTTAAGTTACTCTACTCAATGCACATAGTACTTTTCAAAAGTGCAGGGCCAGTCAAAAGTGTTAAAGTAAGCTATTTTACCTGTAGCTATGGATTAAAATTGTTGTTTTATATTGTAAGATTCAGACCGTGGAGCATCCAGAAGAACTTGGTGCAGCTGGGGGTCTGACAAATGAGGCAGGTCTGAAAGACACAACATCTGAAGCAGAGCTGGATCAAGGACCTTCTAAAAAGACCGCTTTGGAAGATCTCTTGGGGAAGTCTTTGGGTGAACCAACACTCTCCCAGTCCAACCATGACATAGAGACTGGCATGTACAGAAATGAGTTCCCTGTTCCACTTACAAGCTGCCCCCTGAAATGGAGGAGGGAAAATACCAAAAAGTACCCACTACTTTCCGTTCTTGCCAAGGCATATCTCACAATTCCAACGACCACTGTCACTAGCACTTTAGAAATTAAAGTATCAGTACCAGTCAAATTACATTCGTTAATTTCGTGAATCGTATTGAATCATGAGCCATGCATTGTGAAGTGTATCGAATCATGAGCCGGGCATTGTGAAGTGTATCGAATCATGAGCCGGGCATTGTGAAGTGTATCGAATCATGAGCCGGGCATTGTGAAGTGTATCGAATCGTGAACTGAGTATATTGTTACACCCCTAATGGCCAGTCACAGAGCATGAATGATAAAATTGGCTGCACCCGACTGTGGCTGATCAGACAAGGAATCGGAAGGCAGCTAAGGTTTTTTTGGTGAATTAAATCAGTATGGAAGCCACAAATTGCAACTGCTTAAATACAGAGTCAGATATGTGCATTATGACATTCAAAATTTCCCTGTTGTACATAATTTTCACCAATTTCACTTAAATCATTACCAAAGCCTTCTTATCATCTTTATTTCAGGCAGCAAGGTTGGACCCATTCCTCGGATCAGCATTCCGGTACCTAGGACACTACTACCGAGATTTTGCAAAGGAGCTCGGGCGAGCTCGAGGGTGCTACAAGCGGGCCTTTGATCTCGACAGTAGTGATGTGGAGTCTGGGGCGGCTACAGTGGACCTCAGCATGGAACAGGGGCTCATGGTGTGTCCTGCATGCTTCCTGTTTACTTCTTAAGTGGCTAGCCTGATTTTGAGGTTGCTTATTTATCAATAATATGTATCTGCCTGTCTTTCTCAGGACTCTGCTTTGGGCGTTCTTAAGTCAGTAACAGATACGGCTACGCCTGGATTGGCCAAGTGGGCCTGGGTGAGAAGAGGATTGTACTACTTGAAGACTGGTCAACACTCCCAGGCAACTGAAGAGTAAGTTTTAGACCAGGCAGCAGAAGATTGAGTTGTTTGTTTTCAGTGGAGCTCTGATGATCGTTTGTGAAATTATTATTCAGGTGTCTCAGTACAAGGAGGCTGTAGGTCTCAATTAAACAGATTACAATATTATTGGCTTCCCTAAAGAATATATAAATTAAAAACAAACACAGTGACCTATTGTATGAAATTCTGTTCTTTTGTGTCGAGTCTTGGTCTGTAGGAACTGCATTACTGCTTTTCACCGCTTCTGATGTCGTTGGGGTGTATGCATGAACATTGCATGTATGTAAAATCCCTTTGCCATCCATCACCATGAGGAAAGATAGAGATTTCTTATCTTGCTGACCTGCACAGATTAGGTAATGAGTATATATAATTTTTATAAGGTTGAACATATCCCCAAACACCCTCAAGGCAATAATAATTATTAAAGCTGCAGAAGTCTGGAGGGAAAGAGTTAAAGAAAAATCCCCAGATTAGAGTTTCAGAACTGAACTGGTTGTTGGAATCTTGCCATTATCAAGATTCAAAGTGACCTGTTAGACACTACCTGCATGTCAACAAATTTCTTGAAAGGGCTGCACAAAGGAAGCTAATACTGAGCAAATTGCAACACCTGAACTTTGTCAGGCATCATTGGAACTACAGTTGGAATATGCACCATATGTATTTCTGGCTTCAATAGAGTACCACGTACAAGCAAGCACACCCGACTTCCACAGTAAAATATGCCGGTGGATCAGTGATGCTCTGGGGCTGTTTTGTTACCAGTAGCCCAAGGACTTGTTAAGGCCAGTGCATATTGAATTTCACTACGTACCAGGATATTTTAACTGAAAAGGTGTTTGCCTCTGTGTGGAGGTTCATACTTGGCCCCAGTAACTCCAGACACACATCAAAATCAACATGTTTGCCGGAACCCAACACCACAAATGCAGTGTCTATCTCAGCTTCTGGGCTCTTGAATCTCATTTAACACCTGTAGGTGCAAACCTAAGACATTCGGTGATCTTGAATTGTTTTGTGTGGAGCAAGATCCCTCTAGAAATGTCCCCCAGTCTTGTCACATTTTACAGGAAGAGACTCCGTGCTGTTATCATTCACAGGGGATGTTTCCCGGAAGCTGGGAGCCTGTCATTTGGGAATAAATGTGGAAGGGGAGGAAAATGTCATACTCAAAGTATTTTGTGTTAACAAAAATAATTAAATATTAAAATCTACATCTTCTTCAAATGCTTGAACAGAACATTTGAATCATTATGTGTATTTTATACTATAATTTTCAAGGAGTGCCATTTCTTTGCATAGATAGTATAAGATTATGGTGTATATGTATAGAATATCTAAAATACATATGTCCTTTTCTCATGACCATCTTGATGGATTAATGGCTTTCCATTTTGCTTTCATGTAGCCTCCAAGCAGCTCTAAAAGCTGACCCCCAGGATTACATCTGCTGGGAATGTCTTGGAGAGGCATATCTGAACAGGAGGATGTTCACATCTGCTCTCAAGACTTTTGCCAGAGCCCATGAGCTCAATCCCGAGTCTATTTACAACCTCTACCAGATGGCTGCCATCAAGCAGACCCTGGGGAAGTTCAAGGAAGCCGTCAAAGAGTATATGCAGATCATCGAGCAGGAGGACTACGTTCCGGCACTGAAAGGTGTGGCTGGCATATGGCTGTTGGGCTGCAGCTGAGCACCATCTGCTAGTTAAACTTTTCAGCGGATGGGTTATGGTGTCTTATGGGTTGGAGAGACTTTAAGCATGTCACTCTCATTGTGAATGTAGGTAAATGCCAAGGTGCCCTGCAGTAGTTAAGATTTATTTTCTGCCTCACAGGTTTGGGGGAATGCCTTTTGGCAATGGCTCGAAGTGCTTTTATGGACTACCTGGATGGAAGAGCTGTTGACCTCCTTCAAGAGGCTATTGCGTTCCTGTTCAGGTAAAGAATAATTGCACCCGATATACCACCATCTGTAGTCATGCCATTGATGGATTATTTTTACTGTTTGCTCTGCCTGTTTTTTTCCATGAAATGGAGGAAGCTAGAAACATGGAAAATTGTATCCTTGTGAATGGCCTCAGAGAGCATTAGCCTGTCATTTGTGTCTACAGAGCAGTACAGCAGAGACCGGACCTGTCCTGCCTGTGGAAGTTGTTGGGTGATGCTTGTACAGCCACCCACATTGTTTCACCCAGTCGAGCCAAGCTGTTGGTACCTGGCCTGCTATCTGGCCTGGATCCCCTAGATCAGAAACACATGCTTGACCAGAACCAGGTCCTGAAGCTTGGAGAAAGGTAGGCTTAAGAGCGAAAGTATTCTCCTTTTCTCTTTGGTATTAAAAACATAGGAGATCTTTTTCATGATATTAATGGATACATTTTTTTTTATTTCAAAATGTTGTGAAGCACACATTTAAACGCAACTCATTTCTCATTTAAAGTCATTTCACAGTGTCATTTCTTGGTGTGGCTAAATGCAGACACCATGTAATTCTGTTCATTTGGTCACAGGTGCTATGCCCAGGCTTTGAAACGCATGGGAGAGGCAGCTAACTTATGGCATGACCTTGGCTTAAACTATTACCATCAGTCCAGACAGTTGATATTCTCAGAGGAGAAGCAGGATTCCCTGCTGCCTCTGGAAAAATCTCTACAGGTATGGTACTCTGGAGAGTGGTTTATAGATCAGTTCATTCATCATCACTTGGTACAGGTCAGTAACGTATCCCTGCTCCCCCCTCTGTCTTTCCCTGCAGTGTTTAAAGAAAGCTATAATGCTGGACGCCAGCAACTACACTTACTGGAATGCTTTGGGCGTAGTGGCCATGAGTAAAGGTGAATCCCTGCCTGAGCCCTGACTCCGTAGCCTCTTTGCTCAGCTTTATCGTTAAGATTGATGTGATGCTTATAAGATAAATCCTTTTAAAAAACCTTATGCTGAGACCACGGTCTTCGTCTCTCAGCTTGAGGATCCACCGCTGCTTGAGAGTGTCTCTGAGTCGTCTAGGCCTGGCTCCTTACAGTGTGTTGTTTATTAGACTAACAGATGGATTTCTAATTGTTTGAGTTTTTGCGTTTAAAAATGATTTCTTTCTCTGTTTAGGAATTGAAAACTTTGCCCTGGCTCAACACTCCTTCATTAAATCTATAAATATGGAAGCAAATGTAAGAAAAGCATGGCACGTACAATTTGAGTAGAAAGAGTGTCTCAGTGTTATTTAGAATATATGTGCCTACAATTGTCACAGCATTTTTTTTCTTGTCAGAATGTCATTGCCTGGACAAACCTTGGTGCCCTGTACCTAAAAAAAGAGAATATGGAGGTATGCTGGTGTATGTTTTTCTCTTTCTTTTTCTTCTTCTTTTCCTTTTAAAAATGTCCCATCTAAACCAGGGGTGCCCAACTCCAGTCCTGGGGGGCCGGAGCCCTGTGTAGCTTAGTTCTTTCCCTGTTCCACCATAAATGATTCAGCTCAAGAGCTGTGTGGTAATTAGCACAAGGAGTTGAATCAGGTGTGTTAAATGAGGGGAAACCCAAAAATGTGCAGGGCTCCGGCCCTTCAGGACTGGAGTTGGGCACCCCTGATCTAAATATTTCTTAAATCCCACTGAATATTTAGACAGAAATACATTCACAGAGGACACATTGCTTTGCATATTTTCATTTACTTGATGATACTAATTAACCACTATTAATTGCAGATGGATGGATGGATGGATGGATGGATGGATGGATGGATGGAAGGATGGATGGATGGATGGATGGATGGATGGAAGGAAGGAAGGAAAGAAAATGCTTTACCGGGTGTTCAATTAAAGAGAGAGACAGTAAAAAAATAACAAATGTACTAAAGTTTATTTATATGTGGATAGTTTTTATTTGATTACAAATGTGTAACTTTCATCCATGCTTTGCTTTGTTCTTTGCGCAGCTTGCATATAAGGCCTTCAATACTGCCCAGTCTTTGGAACCATCATATGTCAACTGCTGGATTGGGCAGGTACTTTTCAGTCTCAGAGTTTTCCTAGTGTTAACAGTCTAACTTGCACTGTGGGGCCTTCATTAGATGCACCTAGCTAGTACTGGGTAGATGGGTTCAGAGAGACACAAATGGGATGAAATTACCAAAAAATGAACTATAGCCAAACAGAACTTATCTACCAACAGTGTGTTAGATAAGTTGGTCTTGTTGGCGCGAATTGTGTCAACAGACACAAAGCAGTGCCAACAAAAACAATGATTATTGCACATGCGCACAATGTATCTCGCAGCCCTTAGAAGATATATTGTGCAGCTCTATTTCATACTAAATTTTTAGATTACTTCTTCTTAAATTAGTCATTGAAGCTAGTTCTTCATTAATAGTAACTTTTAAATTTCAAGGTGAATAGATTTCAAACCTGGCAACCTCTATATTTTCACAGGCTCTCATAGCAGAGAATATAGGTAATTATGACACCATGGATCTTTTCAGACACACTACCGAGCTCAGCACCCATGTAAGTAGAGGGATCTCCCTGTACTATCTGTTCTTCAGACTGATATTAAGGGCTAAGTCTCACAAGATCTCTCTCCATGTTTTCCTGTGGATCAGACAGAAGGTGTGAAAGGCTATGCATTCTGGGTGTGCTCCACACTGCTGGACAAAACCAACAGGAATTCTGAGCTTTATCTTTACAACATCGTACAAATGAATGCTGTATCGGCTGCTCAGGTGGCTTTGTGCAAATACACAGGTGGGTCATTCCTTTTGCTGTGTATAGCTTTAGGAATGCAAAAACACAGTAATTTAAATTACCTCTTTTATGAGTTGAGAGTGGTGTGGAAACAAATCTAATCACACCTGAATACAATAACGAAGTGACAAAAGGAAAACACCTAAAGCTGCTTTTGACAATGTTTTGGTTTTAGAAATCGTTACTTTAAGGGTTTAATACTGGTGACTCCTTCTACCTTCTACCTGTAGAGAGAATCCAGACTGATTCAGATGCATTCACTATGTTGGGTTACCTCAATGAACACCTGCAGCTAAAAAAGCTAGCAGTTCAAGCTTACCAGAGGTAAAACTCTAACTCATCTCCTTCTGCTTGATTTACTGGGGTCTAGACAAACATGTTTCACATTTGATGGCCCTTTCCCCTTGTTTCTGCTTTTTGGTCTATATTACACCTTAAATTTGCAATAATAAGAGTGACTTTCTCTTCGCAGAGCTGTGGAGCTACTTCAGGCGGGGCCTCCTACAAAAAAACTCAGCTTTGCATTAAGAAACTATGGTCGTGCGCTCTGGTAGTACTCTTCAGTTAATTTACTATAGGAGAATGAACGGGTGCTTTTCATTTTAAAAAGGAAAAAACAGTCAAGTTCTCTTTCCCCATTGATAGCTCTGAGATAAGAAGGTATATGTCAGGGGGATTTACCTCCTGATATTAAGAATACGCAACCATGTTTCCCATAGTCACACAGGCCAGTGGGAGAAGGCGGTGGATATCTACTTGTCCACACCACAAGAAGACATTCATGACGTCACAGGCTTGGCTCTGTCATATTTCAGGGCTGGACGCCTGCAGGACAGCATAAACAGTGAGTGTCTCAAGATTTTGTTTTTTTTTAAAACATGGGTGTGTATTAGCGAGAAACGGCATGAAAACACCTGTGACCGTCATTGTACATTTTGTTGTTGTTCTTTACACGTGTCTCTAATGAATAATGGTATGTTGATGTACCCTCCCAGCCTATGAGACAGCCACAGCGCTGGCCTGCACTGAGGAGGAGAAGGCCTGCCTTCTGACGGCACTCGCTCTGCTGGAGTGCCACAGAGGCTCTACAGACGCAGCTAAGACTCTGCTTTTCAAGTGGTGCGTGATCAGCCTATTCTACATACTCCCCTCCACGCCGATGCCTTATTTTTCTTCTCGAAGGATGTTGACAAATAATACACATTACTTTTGGTTTTAAAACTGAAAATTGTCATACTGTGAATGCACATACATGCACACACACAAAATACTTGAAGTGTATGTGTCTCATTTCTGTGGTGTTTTCTTTTTACGTTTTTCTAAACCCTCAATTATAGCCCTAAACCAAGTTCGCCATGTAGTGTTTTCATATTATGTTGGGAATTTGTGTATGAATATGCATTTATGTGAGTCAGTGTTCCATCACTGATGGGTAAGCAGTTTGTGTGTGTGTGTGTGTGTGTGTGTGTGTGTGTGTGTGTGTGTGCGCGCATGCGGACCCTCAGTTCCATGCTGAAGGACCCCATACCCGAAAGCCTGCAGTGCCTATGCGCTCTGGGGCTGGTGCAGGGCGACGGCACCCTGGCCAACGCCGCCCTCTCCGAGCTGCTGAAGCTGCCCAGAAACCAGGTGGCTGTGGAGGAGCTTTGTATCCTGACCAGCGCCCTGCTGGCTCTGCAGGGGAACTGCGCTGCAGTGCAGAGGGAGGCTGCCCGGGCTGTGCACAGGTAGATCAGTATGTGCCAGCGTGGCGCTCGGGGGGCTTTCTGGAGAACGAAGTGAAGCTCAGTGCTGATGCTTTTTTTATTTGTTTTGTTTTGTTTCTCCCTGGTAGAAACCCAGGAAACCCCTCCCTCTGGGCCCTTCTGTCTCAACTGGTGCCTCAGTACTATCCCAGAAAAGCAGAAGTGAGTCGCATTAGAATATCGGTGACAGAACTCCTGGTGGATAAACACACCATTCTGCTGAATAGCTCCAGTGATTCCTCTGTAGGGTGTTCCTTTTTCAAAACAGATGGACAGATTGTTTATTCAGGTTATGTGGATGGAAACACTTAGAGAAATAATTTGAGATCAATTTCCTTATAGCTTTAAGGTAATGGGAAGTATCCATGTGAATTTTAATTAATTGTAAGCATATGTGTGTCATAGGGAGGTGCAGTTGCCGGAGCAGTGGCATGCCACTCCAGTGTGACTCAGGGAAAGGTAAGGTCTGTTTAAGTCAATTAGAGATTCCTCTAGTAGTGGGAGGACTCATTCCTTCTCTGGCCACTACCAGCACCAGTGAATTCCTGAGTGTGTATACATACAGTCTGCTTTGATTGATGTCCCTTTATTTCCTTCACTGTGCAGCCAGAGAAATAATTTTTTTTTTAACAAAAAAAGTATGTTCTGACATCAGCTATTTAAAAATCATAATGACCCTCCAGAGACCCATTACTGGTATTTCATAATAATTTTTTTGAGACTTCCAAATATACGGTGAAAACCATATAATTCTGTATTAAATGTGCTTTTACTGTATATTTGAAAGGTTCTAAAACGGCTCCTTGTTCTACATCGATAGTACTTAACCCTGCATGCCCCACAAACTCCTAAATAAAGTATTTGATCTGTTTTAATAATTTTCCTAGTTTGCTTTTGTTGTAACTTGTAATCTGTTCTAAGTCAGATTGATATTCTGGCTGAGAAAATTGTATTGGCTAATAAATAACCATACACATCGCTCCCTGGATTTTCATGCGTTTTAATGGCAGTACTCTTTTATTCCTATAGAAGGCGCTGTTGTTCAGCGGCATTAATCAGCTGGCTGCTGGCAGGCATTCAAAGGAAGACCAGAGGAAAAATGCCTTAAAAACCATACAAAGAGCTATTTTGCTTTCACCAGGTATGACACAGAAATGGAAGTAATGTGAAACTCTGCTTACAAGATACATACATTTTTAAAATGTAATCTTTACATATTCAAATAATGTTATTGGGAATGGAAAAATATTTGTTTTATTCTGTCCTGATTACCTTTACTTTGTATATACATAGATTGTTGCCCACCTAAGGGGTTTCTTTGCTGTAGCTGACTGATTTCCCTTCCTGCTCTCGGTTAGCTGACCCGGCCTGCTGGGCCGCACTCATGGCGGCCTGTCACACGGAGAACGTGGCCCGCGTGCTCTCTGGCGCGGCCCCCCGCTGGCAGGGCCTTGAGAAGAGGCTGCTAAGCATGGTGTCCGAGGAAGGTCTGCAGTCATCGCCAGTCTGTAGACCATCTCCCTGTCATTTTGGCAGTTGTGGTCTCTTTGGAATATTTAAAATTGTTGATATTTTGAATATAAACATTCTAAAAATTTGCACTGATGCAGCTGTATCTTTTTAGGTCAAGGTCAAATTTATTTATATAGTTTTTTTTAAATTAACCAAAGTACCTAAGTGCTGTACAGAGTGAGAAAGAAAAATCTAAATAAATAAATAACAAATAAACAGAAAATAAAGAAATACAAATTAAGCAGAGCTATTATTTACATACTTGTTTGCATTTTCTCTTAACTACTTTACATATGACAGCATCCAACATTTCTGAATACTCTGGGCTCTTTGTGTTATAGACAAACGTGAAAATGGTACTCATATTCAGAGTTAAAGCCAGGGCTGAGATTTATGACAAAGGGCCGCCTTTTGTGTTCCTTGTTCCCAGTGAAGGTAGTGGAGGCGGTGGAGAGGCCGCAGGCTTTAGCCCTGGAGGCCTGGGCCCTGCAGCAGGCCGTCTCTGGGCTCAGGCAGGTTGGGCGGCACGTGGAGGCCGAGAGCCTCTGTACTGAGGTATGGCACCAAACCTGCTTATGCTCTCTGCTGGAAAACCTGCTGGTCTGCTACAAGTCTCCTGATGTCACTGCTCATTTTCCTTCCCTGTGTTAAAGCAGTAGACAGAAAGTGGTCCATTTTCCTCACTTTCTGCGCTCCGTATTCCTGTGCCGTCTCTCAGGTTCTCAGAATGTCACCGGAGCAGCCGGCAGTCTTTCTGTTGCTACGGCAGATCGAGTGTGAGAACTTGCTGCATTCTGCCCCCACCCTGCCCAGCTCAGTTTTAGACCAACTTAGCAGCATGATGGTTGCTGGCCAGGCATCCCTGTCTGCCTGGCATGTGAGTAGAACCCGTCAGTTACACCTTCAGAATCTCATGCTGGTGACCTAATATTGCCATTAAAGCCTTCTGGTGTCACTGGAATTTATTAATGTCATTGACCATCACAATCAAAGTCAATTGCGAGACAACTGAGGCTATTTATTTTTGTATACATTTTTGTTTCTTTTATATGTAGTTTATTTGTACATTTTAAGGGTATGTTCCTTAAGTAACTCCATTAAATTTTCAGTAAGACTCTCAGGAGTTTGACTGTCAAATACTTTTAAACATTTTGGTTTTTCCATAATTTTCAGGAAGTATGACTCCTGACCGATCTATTCTTGTTTAAGGGAAAGACTGCATCCAAGCTAAATATTTAGTGTTTACAGAAGCCTCTCTCTGCTCCTATTACCCTGTCCTCCCTATCTAGTGGCTGGCAGAGGTGTATCGCACTCAGGGTCTGCTGGTCCAGGCTGTGATGGTCTACAGGCAGAGTCTCCAGCTGGCCTCTCAGATGGGGCACTTCAGCTGGAAAATGGCCACACTTCTGCGGCTGGCCCTTCTGGCCCTGGGGCCCTGCATGGTGAGTCAGTGCATGAGCGCGGGGATGCAGCCGAAAAGCACAGAGAAAAACCAGGAAAGAACAGGACTAAGAGTCACAGAAGGGAGTATAGCCCGTCGTTAACTTATAGACAGTAATGGTCAAGGTGGCACAGAGACAGGACTTCCGGGGGGGGTACCACTATGTTCAGCAGAGCAGGTGATATTTCTGCTGGAATGTATAACATCAGAGCCCATCCTACAGAACCTGTGAATTATTAATAGGAGCCATTTGGCTCTGATTAGCATCAGGTGTCCCTTTTTGCTTCTTTACCGGGTGATTTTCGGACTCCTAGACCTTCTCCGTTATGGGAATGAAAGTGTAGCATGTGCCCTGTGTTTCTAGGCCTGTGAGCCCAGTGCTGAATGGAAGGACCTGGTTCTTGAGGCGACTTCAGAAGCCCTGAAGCTGGGCCCCTGCCCCGTGGCACTTCTCATCCAGGCTCTGCTGCAGTTCTCCCTTAAAATGGGGGCTAGGTAAATACCATTTAGTCTTCCTTCTCATGATATTATGAAGGCTTTGTTCACTGGAGGTGCTGGATCCTGTTTGGCAGGTGGATTATGTTGAGTAAACTTAGAAGTCTGTCGCAAGATGAGATTTCCCATATATCCTCAGTTACCCATGAATTGTTGACAAGCCTTGGATATACCATTTTTCTATGATAAAAATATTGGTCAGCTTGTTGTCTCCCCTTCATTCAAAGCATTCACATCCTAATCCATGAACCTTACAGGGAAATAATATGAAAAACATTAATAAAATTGTGGGTGCTTTATATAGTTGTTTTGTTTAAAATGTGCATACTTGTTACTTTTGTGGTGTTTCTTCTGGAATGCAAAATTATGAAATACTTGTGTAGCTCTTTTTATTATTATCATTTTTTTTTTTAAACCCCCCTAAGCAGGACAGCGCTCCATGCCGCCTGACACTAACAGTGTGCTCTGCCTAGGGAAACACGACGCCAGTTAGAGAGGATTGTTTACACCCCTGTTCCTGGGCAGCCCGAGACAGTGGTGTCAGTGGCACGCTGGTACCTCCTCCGTCACTACCATGCCAAAAACGACCTGGAGCCAATAGATGTAAGCATCTGCTTACAACATGAACATCCATAAACATTCCATAAACATTCCATACACATTCCATACAGTATCAGATGTCAAGAATCCAAGCTTTTAGTCATTTTCATGAAACAGTTGAAACATTAACAAGGTGAAAATAAGCACCCTCTGTCACTGAACATGACAAATTCATTACATCGGAGGTAGTTGTTCTGTTTGTGAAGTTATGAATTATAGATATTATTCAGTCTGTTGAATCCCCTATGTGTCGATGGTTTTATGGTATCTTTCTTTTCCTATTTCCGCACAGACACTGATGAATCATGCCAAAGCATCAGGGGACTGCCGGCTTTTGGAGCTTCAGAAACGGCTGTTGTGTTAATGCATAAGCAAGATACAAAGGACTGTCATATTCAATCATCAAAATGAACTGTAATATTTTATGTCTGTGACATTGACATTAACCTTCTATAATCATGCTGAAGCCATTTAAAATGTCTGTGAGCTGCGCTTGTTTGGAAAGTAAGATTTTAGGTTTTTGAATTGCATCCACTTTGATTTAATAATGTACTTTGTACATTTAACATTTTCTGGACAGCCTGATACACTCAGGTGTCTCTGCTCTTGCACATTGGGTAGCTGGTGAAGAAACAATATAAGAAATATTTGCCTCTGTAAATAACTACGTTTATGAGCCTAGCAGAATATAAGCATGACATTATATGGAGAAGGAGAAAGCTTGCCATTTAAGTCTCCTTTTATTCCGGCATTGTTGATGAACATACATTTGTGAATGGGTAATATTCCTTCTGTTTCATTGGTGCTTTAACCTTGGGACATTCACATTTCCAAAACTTCGTTGAATAAGCAAAATGCCATTGTATACTGTATGCCAAATGAGGAAAAAAGATAATGAAATTGTGCCCTCTGCAGTCCATTCTGAAAATTACATTCAATAAATGGAAATTAGTCGAATTTGAAGTGCACATACATGATACATTTGTTCCTAGCAAACAGATAGTTACCAGAAGAGGGAGCTCTGCTCGTCTTTTCTAGCTGTACCTGTCTTGACTTGCAGCAATGCATGCAAAATCGTTTGTTTAGAATATACACTGAATTGTTTCTTGCATAGAAAGTTCAGAAACACTTTCATTAGCACATAGGTTTAGACCAGTCAGAGGGGATAGACATACATGAATTATTTGTAAGTAGATAACGTTGTTAAAATAATTTTTTACCTACAATGAAATTTAAGAAAAAAATCTGTAATGTTACTTTGCATGCACCTGTGCATATTCATGTGGTTTTCAGCTCCACGATCTTACGGCGGATATGCTTGATGTCGTTCTCAAGCTTCTGTCGATCCAGCTGAGCCTTGGCATCAGAGATTTGGCTTAAGGATTCGATCGCATCGTAGATCAGTTGAAAGCCTGTCCACCAAAAGAATTGGTTTCTTACTAGCGCATAAATTCCTCGCTCCATGGAATATCAGTTGCATGTTTTTTATGTTTCGACAAAGTTTCACAGAGATACAATTAACAGAACTTCATCTTTGTCTCCAGTAATTGGACAAAGAAATGAGAATTTTAATTTGTATGTCAGGAATAAGTGATTCCTTGCATTGCATGGCTTTTCTAAGTCCCCTTAAAATTAAAAAGCTTTTAGTAGAGTTTAATGCTGAATATATAGTGTATTAACGGCATAGAGCCATAACGGGCAGTTTTCAGTTGAAGCAGTAAAATTATGCTATTTCAAGCACATTTTCTGCCATTGCATGAAGAGCAGCAAACTCACCTAGTGAGTTTATCTGGTATAGCTTGCAGTGAAAATGCTTGAAAAGTTAACTGCATTGGTTGATGTTCCCATGAGAGTTTGACTTGGAGGACCCTGCATTAGCTCATGCCGAACAGACCTGAATGGTACTCCTTTTTGATCAGCGCCAGCTCTCCCCAGATACTCCTCTCCAAGGCATCAAGCTTGTCCTCGAGGTGCCTCAGCGCGGCAGCCTTGCCTTCCTGCTCCGTGTGCCCCTTTGCTCTCTCAGCTTTCACCAACAAGGGGCCAACACATTCTTGGAACTTCTTCTCAATCAGATCCTACACATACACCTTGTCAGGATCCAGGAAGGAAGGTTCCTTCACCATTCTAATACTCTAATAGGCCAAATTCAAGGGTAACAGAAGTATGGAGCAACAGCAAGTAATCCATTAGTAAGCCTGTGTTTTGAATATCCATCAAAAAGTATAATTAACTCTGG